AAAACAGCAACACATCTTTACATAATAAAACAAATTTATCACACCTTTATATAGTTAAACAAACATTCTGCAGCACTCATGGAAAACGTCAGTGGTGGTAGAATGACCCTATAAGGCTGGTGCTGGGAGATGCAGAGACAGGTGGATCCCTGAAGCTTGTTAGCCAGCTAGCCTAACTAAACTAGGGAGCTCCAAGTTTGGTAGTGGCCCCATTTCAAAGAAAATAGAGGAGGACAGCAATCTAGGAAAGACCCCAAGATCATCTTGGGTCTCTACACACATTTGACCCTTCATATACAATGGGCACACACAGACACTAACAAGTATACACAGCATATTGCCCACTCGTGAAGGCACGAAAATAAGGCAACTTCCTGTTGAATTAGTTTGACCAGGAATCAGCCACTGTTTCTCTACTTTTCTTGATCTTCCATCTGCCTCTAAAGTAGGGCTTTGTTCTGTGTTGTTGAACAGTACAGACACCATGACATGGGAAAGGAATGGGGGAGTCTGTACAGAAATCTCAAAGAGATGTTCACAAGGGATGAAGCCACTTTCTTGGTTCCAGCTGACCCAGAATAACAAAGCCACAGACAGATGTTATCAGCCCACATGCACATGCAGCTTCCAATGTTTATAAAATATCTGTTGTATAAGGTTGTTTTTCAATCCGCTGGCTGCTTTTTAGCAAATGATTACCACAACACTCGCATACACCATACCTTATTCTGGTTCAGGATCAACAAAGGATGAATGACTGAAAATTAAAGTTACACTTTTAGCTTAGGTTGTCTCTCTCTCTCTCTCTCTCTCTCTCTCTCTCTCTGTGTGTGTGTGTGTGTGTGTGTGTGTGTGTGTGCATATTTATTATAGCACTGGTAATAACAGTTGAACGGCCAAGTGCACAAAGGCAGGAGAACGCGCAGGCCCACTTTCACTTATCCATAAAGAGAGTGAGGAACGGATGGTCCCACTGTGTGAATAAGCCTTCAAATGTCCTGCCAAGCAGTCACAAAACACCTCTGTGGATGATGACATACACTGGCAGTGTCTACAGAGTCACGGAGCTGACTCATGAAGGCCAGGTAGGGGAGGCGAAGTGGAAAATATTTGTCTGGGTGCTGTGAAATTAATGGAGAGGCTCTTTGCACAACATTGTGTGTGTACAGATAATCCTGAGTCTGTTGTGAGAATTTTGCCTCAATCAGTAGTATATATAAGAGAAGACATTTGCTGTGTTGAGCCTTATTTCTCTACAGTAAAATGATCAAAATGACAGTGGCACTGAGAAGAAACCCAAAGGCTATTTCCCCCCGACTTCCGCTTCTATAGGATTTTGAGCTTTTGATTATCTTAGGGCTAATCAAATTCAGTTTCATTTAGCTGAGTTTTCACTTCCGTGGCTAATTGCATTCCCACACTGTATTGTTCCAAGAGTCAGAAAACATAAAGCTGTTGCATTCTAGGACGGAAAACAAAACCTGTCTTTGGTTTTCTTTCTTTGTGATGCTCTGGATTTAAAGCATCATTTTCGATGGTAGTTCCCTGTTTTATCTGAGGACTGATTCAGCAAAGTATCATGCTATGTCACACAGTCCCCAAGGAGAAGGATACAAGAGGGAAGGTGTCACAGGAATTAAGATAACCTGCTGTCTATGATCAGTGACTTCCTTCAGTACGTGTTGGTGGACTACGGATGTAAGACATATTCAACTTGTGGTAGCTCAGTATTTAACATGAATTTTGATACTTGATTGCATCTACTATTGGCATTTATTCTGTTTTTTTGTATTGTTTTGTTTGCTTGTTTCTATTTCTTTTGGATCTATTTATTTTATTTTATGTGTATTGATATTTTACTTGTAGATATGGGTTTGGTCACATGTTGGTCTCTGAGGAGGTCAGAAGAGGGCATCAGATC